ATGGATCAAAATACTCCATAAAGTTGACATTTTAATGAACATGGGGACTGAATAGAGCTAAGATCTATCATCCATTGCTTCTGGAGTAGATCAAAAGCTCACCTCTAACACAAAAGACTCAAAAGCTCCAAAATTCTCCATAAACTAGATCTAACATATTTGATCATCGAGATGTGAGCTTTTAACCTCAAAGATTTCAAAAGAGAAGCTAACCCTGGACCTTCAAGCTGAAGCCACTCCTCTGAGTGTTCTTCTTCTTCTTATTCTTCTCATTCAGAAACCACAAACAAACATTATTTCAAGCTTAAAACTTACCAAATCACTCTAAGGTTTCGATTTCAGGGTAAGGGGTGATGGAGGTTTTCTAAAATGTCCAAGATATGAGTTTATGTCATTTAAATAGGGCACAAGCCCTAAAATTAGGGTTTGTCCTAGCCTTACGTATGCCATGCGTACTCCACATATGCCCCGCATACGTGGATGGAACCCGCAGTCATCAGGATAGCTAGTAGACTAAGCGTACTCATTGAGTACACCCTACATACTAACCAAGGGACCAAATTTGAAAAGAATTTGCATCAAAGTTATTAAAAGGAAACTTACCAAAACTTGAGTATTACAGGTTTGACCATACAAGGGTGAAGTTCTTTCATCTTTGATTCCATTCTCTTCGCAGAATGTGTTAAACTCTTGTTTGAAATATTCTCCGCCTTTATCCAAGTGAAGAATTTTAATGCGTCTTTCAATTTAATTTCGACTTCAACCTTATATAGTTTAAATGCATCAAAAGCTTTATCTATTGGTCTCAGTAGATAAACATGTAGATATCAACTAGAGTCGTCACAGAATGTGATGAAATGTCTTTTTCCTCATCGAGTAAGTATTCCATTTAATTCAATATATATCAAAATGAATCAACTCAAGTAATAAGGTATCTCTTAAATAATGGAAATGGTTTCTTTGTAAATTTTGATTTCACATAAGTTTCACATTTTTCAAAATCTATGTGTTATATTTTAACATTCCTTTAGTTTGCATTTTCTTCCAATGTTTTTAACATTAGTGTGTGTTAAATGTTTATGTTATAAAGAAATTGAACAAACAAAATAACTAGAAATTTTCATTTCATTCACACATGCAATCATTGCATTAGTTACATCATTCTTAACAACACTAGACATATTTTGAGCACTTGCACCTTCACTGTCAACACCTAGCCTATTCGCACTACCCTAATCACTAAGGAAACACGATACATTCCTAAATAATTGTTCTCGTCCCAACATACATCTTTTCCTTAGTGATCATAATTTCTCTAACTCCATCTTGAACCCAACTTTGTCAAACGTCCGCAGAAAGCAACCCTTTCTAGATAGTAGGGACATGAAGAACATATCAAAGGGCAACCCAAATCCCATGTGTGAACTTCAAGTGAACACCACCTCTCTTTTGAACTTCAGCTATGTGCCCACCTACTCAGACAATGACCATCCCCGGTACTGCTGGACGATAAGTATGAAAACTTTCTCGTTACCCACAAACATACACAATGGCTCCAGTTTCTACAAACCATCCTCAAGCACAAATTGCTCAGGTCAGAGAAGAGATCATTAAAAATCTCTCTAAGACTCACATATTCCACCATATTTGTAACATGGTCGACTACATGTGCTACAAGTCCTAATTTTCTATCTTCACATTCTCACGCTTAATGCGCAATCTCTCCGTAGACGTGGCATGGTCCAACCCTCTTTGGCTTTAAGTTATGGTTTTGATTACCCTGTTTCCTAAAGCTTTGTTTGTTTTGTTACAAGTCCCTTTTCTTGTGTCCCCCAGACTTGGTCTTATGACTAGAACCCCCAGGAAATAAGTAGTGTACACTTAATCCAACTTTACCATGTTTGTTCCTGCTGCGAGTTTCCTCCTCGATGTGGAGGTGCTTCATCAAATCATCCAAGGAGTAGTCCTCAGATTTGTGCATAATTCTCTTAGAGAAGTCTTTCCACGAGGGTGATATTTTTGTGATGATCGCACCAACCTGAAAGAGTTCTGGTAAAGAGATGGAGAGCGTGTTCAACTTAATGACCAAGACATGGAGTTCATGTACTTGCTCCATGATAGGTTTATCCTCAACCATTTGAAAATCTAGGTACTTAGACACTAGGTGCTTGCTAGTACCTTCCTCGTGTGCCTTATACTTAAGTTACAAGGCTTTCCATAGCTCCCTCAGATCTATGACTGATACGTATAGATCTTAAAGCCAATCAGATTGTGAATTCTCTATGTGACCCACACATAGTTCCTCAAAATCTTTATGTAGAGCCCTTCATTTCTCCAAATCAAAGATGACATTTGGATCCACAATCTTTCTTGCTTCAAGAATATGATCAGTAGGAATTGAGGTCAAGTTAGGGTCTAAAACATAAACGAGCTTCAACACATGAAGCATGAACTTGAACTTGTTGGCCCGACAAGTATAGTTCTAACCATCGAATCGGCCAAACTTGACAAACTCGTGGTTCATAAGTTGGAGACTAGCAATTGGGATTTTGGTTTCGATAAGTCTAAAATTTATAATGTAAAAAGCTTTAAGATTGTTGAAATTCAAATTTGATATTTAAACAATCCAATAATTAATATTATGAAATAATCATGAATTATTTAGAATTTACAAACAAACGAATGGATAGATAATATTTATTATTAAATATTCAAAAGGCTTTCACAAACAACCAACGATTAATGTTGAAGATTAAACGTTGAGATTCCATAAGATAATAAATTCAATTGTTGTTGTTGTTGTTGTGGTTGTTGTTCTTGTTGTTGTTCGAATTCAAATATGAAGTCCATCCGATCTTTCCAGAAATCAGTTATACAACTATTATTGTTGTTGTTACCAATTTTTGTCCACAAATCAGAATGATCCTTCACTCGCAACATCCGCTAGACTAAGCACACCATTTCAAATTCAAACATGAAGTCTATCCAATATTTCTAGTGGATTCTTCAACTCTTTGACCGGGTCGGCCAAACCGACTTGACCCGAACTCGTCAAAAATAAAAGTTCATCACCTCCCAACAACTGATGCATCACCATTTCACACACTCTCAATATCATCTAGACTAAGTGCGTGTATGTGGACTTGACTCATCTCTTGATCCACTTAAAAAAAACTTATTAACATGCTTCGAAACAACTATTTGTCATACTAATATTCTATAATCACCACGTTTGATTATAGAGTAATTGTAATTAAACACATTCGAAACAAAAGTAAACCTTTCTTTGATCAAACTAAATTGTGGTTTGGATGTTCATTTCGATTTTCGACATTGCTATTTAATATTAAATGATGAAAGTATAATAATCAGTTGTTTGAGTCATGTTATTAAAAAGAGATAATTTGGCAAATGACCATAATTTACAATGATTTTGAAGAAAATGACCACAAAAATGAATATTTCAGAAAATGACCAAAGGTTCCGCAGAGGGGGTTCTGCGGAACCATAAAAACCTCTGCGGAACCCTTAATTGTTCTGCGGATCGATAAAAACAACAAAGAAAAGGCATTCCTCACTACTCGACTGCGGAAGGAAGGTGAAGATCTGCTGCGTACATCGACTGTGATCGAAACGAACAAGAAAATGTCAAGGCGAGCTCGATTGTGGACCAACTACACTCCGATGTGTTATCAGATGGATATAGAACTCAAGTAATTTTTTTTCCTAATTTTTGTATAAGAACTCAAGTAATCTTTGTAGTAATAGATTATATGATTTGGAAATTGATTGGTTAAATGTTATTTATAAACATATATGTTTGTTGGGGTGTAAGAAATAGAAATAAGATATCAATTTATGCAGAGGAGGCCTTCTTTTCATCAAGAACAGATCCGCAGAGCTCCTCTGCTCAAGAACAGATCCGCAGAGGAGCCCTCTGCAGAACGATAACTGCCTCTGCGGATCTTTTTTTTTTTGTTGATATTTTATAATTATTATCTCTTAAATAGACCATTGAATATTGAGATCATTTTATGTTGATTATATCGCATATTAAAACTGATTTCAAATTATTTGTGTAATTAGAAAAAACATTGAAAATTGAAAATTTCTATAATTATTATTAAAATGGACCATTTATGTAAATTTTATAATATATATGAGACCATTTTGTAAAATTCTGTAAATTTGTTATAAAAAAGGGACAACTTATTTTAAAAGATAATTATTCATGTAGACTATTGTATAAAAAGTTATAAAACAAAAACGATATTTTTGTTGCATAAAATTGTTAAATAAAACAATATATTAGTATTATTTTGTTTACTTTTGGCATATATGTCTAATCTTTTGCAGCATAATTTACGTGGATGACTTGTAGAATGTACTTTTAGAGGGGCGTTTGGGACTGTGTTGAAAAAGTACATTCCAAAACTAAATAGTAGGCGACTTGAATTATTTCGAGAGACAGCTTTTGGGATCTTCATTGGTATGCCCAACCCGAATGGTGACCCGATGCTCTGTCATTTGATGATGTTGCATGAGGTTCGTGATATAGAGGTAGCCAGGGCTAGGAGGTTTCGGTTCGAGTTACAAGGCAGGGTGGTTGAATAGGGTGAAATAGAATTTTGTTTGATTAGCGGTTTGAGATTTGGGCCGTATGTTGATATAATAAATACAAAAGTCAACAGAAGTTCAACATTAAGGAATCGGTTGTTCCCTAATGTGAGAGATGAAGATTTACGGCTGAAAGATTTAGAAGACTACGTAAAAGGGCCAGTATTCTCGACGTGTAGCGATGAGGATGCGGTAATGGTTATGCAAATGATATTTTTGTTTAGGGGTCTCATAGGACGAGATGACAATACGTACATTCCGTTGGCAGTGTATGAGCTAGCCGATAGTCAATATAATTGGAGCATGTATTCAATTTATTATTTATCATTTATTATTTATTTATAAATACTTCATGATTTATATTATTTATTAATGAGTACGACATGTTTGCATGGCGTACGTATTTGTGGAGGTATAGTGAAACACAATCACGATTATGGTTTGGTAAAATCTCTAAATATTTACGAGATAATGAGGATGAGGGTTACACGAAGACGATGAAGTATACTCTTCTAGGTTTTCAATTTCCGTTTAAGGTTAGTTTTAGCTGCAACTAATTGGTATTTTTTTTAAGTGCTTATAAGTTTGGACAAAGCATAATTTTTTGTCGTAATAATAGGTATGGATTTTGGAGACATTTCCTGAAGCTTTGAGGTTTGCGCATCACGAAAAAAATGAAATTCCAAGAATGAGGGCATGGAGAATAAAAACACAATTGACTCTCGAGCAATGTTTGCGTATATTAGACGTTTCAGTCGTATAATTATGCAATCCTTATATTAAATATATATAGTTAAAAATCACAACAATTTTATATACTTAAATTTATATTAATTTTGTAGGATAATAACATCCCACGTGATTTTGAACCAACGCCTGTTGAGATCAATTTGCCATTCTTTGTGCGTTATGTTAATTGGATTCTAGACAAAGTGCAATCGCCACCGCAACAACACAGTCCTCCTAAGGAGCGTTCTCCATCACCGCAACTAATGAGTCCTCCTATGCAGCGTTCTCCATCACCTTGGAATCAGTTTCAGGGAGCAGATTACACCTCAGCCTCTCATTTTCAGGAAACATCCCACGGACCTGTAGAAAACAGTAAAATAGACAAGTTATTTTGTGTTGTTAATGAATTGAAAACCACAATCGAGCACTTTGGGAAGAGAATGGATAATTGGGAAAAAGATAAACAATTTGGTGTGAACGATATGGAAAATGTGGATGTGAGGGAAGCATTTTTTGGTGGTTTGGGTCCCGAGTCAGGCCATACGTATGTGCATACGCCACCTCCTGTTGTTGATGTTGAGGATAACACAGCTACACCAATTAAAGGGTGGATAAAAATGAAATCGAAATTTTGTAGGGATCCTTACACACAAGTATAAAATTAAGTAATTTCTATTTATATAGTATATAATCGTTCCAAATTAATTAACATATTGATTTTGTAGGTTCCTTCGATGACGGAACCATTGAAGAACAGAAAAGGGAAAAAACACAGAAGGAAAATAATGTTGCAAAAAGACAATTACTATGCAGATTGTGATGATGAATTTTGGAAATTGTGGGGAAAAAAGATGGGGGTGGTATTTGTGGAGCATAGACTTTTAAGAGGTATTGACATGAATTGGGAATTTTGGTCTACTTTACTTGGTATTGGCTCTGGATGGTTTCTCTCTGAGGTAACGAACACCCCTTATTTTATATTACAAAAAGGGTTAGATAATTAATTGTTCAAAATGATTTTTTTTCCTAACACGCAACATTTGGTTATCTGGTCATCGCTACTCAAGGAAATAAGTTCATCGAATTGTAGGTGGACGATTATTAATCCTGAAGGCACGACTTTGGAACCTGGGAAACAACATTATTTGAGGCGTATATCAGCCGGGATGGTTGATGGACCACATTGGAAGGATATTGATCGGGTAAGTATATATATATATATATATATATATATATATATATATACACACTCACACACACGCACATTAAAATATGTATATATCTAATAAATTATTATTTTTTGAAGGTTTTAATTCCAATCAACATACCGCAACTGCATTGGTATTTGGTTGATTTGGATCTCCTGACATGGAAAGTGACCATATATGATTCAGCTGAATGGCGTGGTTTCTTCAAAAAAATTCAGATGACGGTAGTTTCAAATTGTTGGGAGATAGTATATTAAGTGAACTAGACCACATATCATATTGGGCCCATTTTCCCAATAGACAGAAACCTACTGAGGTGAAGTTCATTAAAGGTAAACATGTGTTGCAGCAGGAACAAGTAGTAGAAGGAGAAAAAGGAGATTGTGGAGTTTTTGTTTGCATGTTCATGGAAATGCTTGCATCGGGTGTACCAGTGGAGACACATCAATCACCTAAAGATACGGGATTTACTTACCGTAATCAGATGGCAGAAATTATTTGGAATACTAGACTTTGATTGTGTTATTTGGAATAGTATACTTTGATTGTGTTATTTGGAATACTAGACTTTGATTGTGTTATTTGGATTTACATATAGCTACACCTATTAAAACAAAACAAACATGAGATACCCAACTACTATAACAACTACCAACAGCTTGTACATACGTACGCTCTTCTTGGAATCACACATCCCCTTCTCCATGCTTGCCACTACACTCTTCTCCTTACTCAGGAGAAGCTCCAACTCAACATTCTTATTCCTCAAGTTTTTTTATGAAACCAAGATCCTCTTTGGAATCCAACTGTTGCTTCATGGAATAGATGAGGTTTTTGTAGTAACCATCTTCAAGTGCAACATCTTTCCATTCAAAGTAATCACATTTCCTCAGTCTTGTTTGTATCAAACCCATATGAATAAAACATCAAAACACAATGACTAATCACATTTCTGCGGATCATTGCACACCTCTGCGGAGCAGTGCACACCTCTGCGGATCTGTGTACACCTCCACGGATTACCAAACAACTATGCGTAACATAATCGATGAAAGGATACGCATGGTAAAGTGATTTTATATTACTTATTACGCATAGTTGTTTGGTAATCCACGGAGGTGTACACAGATCCACAGAGGTGTACACTGCTCCTTAGAGATGTGCAATGATCCGCAGAAAACTGTTCTTAAGTGATGTGTCAAAAACCCAATTTGGACCTCATTCATTTCTTTCTTACCACTTTGATTCTTCAACACAATGTCTATGATCTCGTGCAATGCAAGAAAGCGCCTCCAAGTTGCTCGCGTGTTTGTTAAAGACGATGTTAACAATTGTCATTGCGATCTTCCAGCTAAGGAACGAACATGTTGGAAACTCACTAACCCCGGCAGACGTTTTTGGAACTGCAACAACAGCTTGGTAAGCTTCGTTTCTAAATATACATATATAATTGTGATTGTTTAAAATACATCTTGGGTGATTAGTCATTGTGTTTTGATGTTTTATTCATGTGGGTTTGATACATACAAGACTGAGGAAATGTGATTACTTTGAATGGAAAGATGTTGCACTTGAAGATGGTTACTACAAGACTAAGGGTTAATTTATAAAAAAATTGAAATCAAGAAGAAATGGTACATAATCGATGAAAGGATACGCATGGTAAAGTGATTTTATATTACTTATTACGCATAGTTGTTTGGTAATCCGCGGAGGTGTACACAGATCCGCATAGGTGTACACTGCTCCTTAGAGGTGTGCAATGATCCGCAGAAAACTGTTCTTAAGTGATGTGTCAAAAACCCTCTGCGGATCTGTGTACACCTCTGCGGATCTGTGTACACCTCCGCGGATTACCAAACAACTATGCGCAATAAGTAATATAAAATCACTTTACCATGCGTATCCTTTCATCGATTATGTACCATTTCTTCTTGATTTCATTTTTTTTTTATAAATTAACCCTTATATTTTCCGCCATAATGGCTTCCATACCATGGAGCACTGAGGATAACCTCCGTCTAACTTGTGCATATATTAATATCCACGAGACCACCAGGGTGAATGATCCAAGTTATTGGACGCGTTTAACTTATGCCTTCAACGCTGACCCTCAAACTGCCCCAGAAAACTACCACAACACCATTGACATCACAACAAAATGGTATGAATTAAAAACAGAAGTCTTGGTTTTCAACAATCCTTATACCAAAATTGATGACGCACGTCCGAATGAAGATGAGGAAGTCATCCTAGAAGTGGCTAAAGCGGAATACATATCCATTAGTAACAGGTTAGAATTCGAGTTTGAAGGGTCTTGGAATCTATTAAAAGATCTCTCGTATTTTTAATTTGTATTGCGTTTGTAGAAGGATAATTTAATGTAGTTTGTTTTTATTAGGTTATTTATATGAATCAGTTTGTATTACTTTATTTATATGTATTTGGTTTGAATTAGGTTATTTACGAAACCAATTGAGTTAACTTCTACTTTATTCCATAGAACATAAAATACAAAACAGTACAAATACATAGAAAGCATACATCAGTAGTAAACATATTACATAAAACATTTCACATAAAAAAACCCTTCTACATGAAATACTGGTGGTTCTTAACTAGATTCCAAGCATCTACATACTCGAAGTCTTTTCCCTCATGCTCGAAAATGTAATGATCTAAAATCATTTCTACAAAAGCATCCTCGTTTGAGTAATATTAATTACTACTAATTTTAAGATGATGATACCATCGATTGAACCATGTGATTTCGTTCTTTAACTCCATCCACTTACTAAGAATATCTACTAGTACCCGATATTCTCCTTGTCCAAATGAGAGGTTGAACATACCTGTTATGCGGGTCCATTCATCACCTCCAAGGTAATCAGGGGTAACCATTGTTGTTTCACCTTCAAAAATGTTCAACCAACATCGTATTATAACCATCACCTCTCTTGTCGTCCATGGACGTGGAGTATCGGACGATGATGTTGCATTCGTAGAAATTCGTGCATTGGAGGTCATTTCTATATTTTTCAATACTGGGGTGAGTTGATACAATATTTAATAGGTATGAAAATTTATACACTGATCTGTAGAGGTGTACACTGATTCGCAGAGGTGTACACTGATCTGCTGATAACAGTTCTGTGGATTCCCAAACAGTTATGTGGACTGATATCGAACATAAGTTCATTATTTTTAACATTTTTTATCAAATTATTTACATAATCACATAAGGTATTAGTGTATTTAAAAAATATATTAATAAATGAAAATGAACGAAAAAAAAAACAAAAAAACAAAAAATAAATAAAAAAACATCAATTCCGCAGAGGTGTAACGGATCCGCAGAGCAGCTAATAGATCTACCGATCCTTTGGTCATTTTCCAAAATCCATTTTTCCTTTGTCATTTTCTTTAAACAACCCTTTCTTTTTTGGTTATATGACAAATTATCTCTATTAAAAATGTTTTTTTTAATTGTTATAGTCTTGTTTGATTATTATATCGAATATTAAATTCCTAAACACGAATCCCAACACAAAGTAACACAAGTATTCCAAATCCATTTAGGATGTTTTAAAATGTTAAATTCATCGTAGTAAGTTTACTGATGATTGGCATATTTATCTTTTCTCAACTTGCAGAAAATATTAATGTTCGTAGGAGTTGTAGTTCCATTTGGTCACCGTTTCTTATGCCATTAATTTACCTAATTTACAACAACTTCTATGATTTTCTCGTATGGGACGATGCGAGTTAGTTCCGAAGTGAACAGCTACAGGAAAAGGTTAAATACTGCATGTATTGATCTATATTTTTAAAGGTCTCGCCTACATTGATTCCATTATATTGCAATAAATAAATACATAATCTAGACGTAAACACTCCTAATGAAAATCGAAAAACTAAGCGACCTTGAGCATTTAATTAGATAGCCAAAGTACGTCAAGAAATGCAGAAATGGCAAGCAGGACGCAGTTGAGAAATGCAAACCCTATTGAAACCCCAACACGTTCACAAAAGGAATGTAACGGCTTACAAAAATTGGGTAGAGCCGTGTGTTTGATCCCCGTTCGATTGAGGTTGGTCACACCCGTTGCAGCCGATCCGGCACTTATCATTGCATATGCAAGCACCTGTATAAAGTATTACTCAATAATCAATAAATCAACTTAATTTTTGTTATATTTTTAATTGTAATCTGTATTCATAGGAATTTGCGAGTTAAATCATTTTGTTGGGTTTGATTCATAGATTTTTTAATTATTTTATTAATATAAACTTAGACTATATTACACTTTTGTTTGTTGGGTATAGACGTATAGTTGATTTTCTTCAATTTTATCCCATAGTTTTATTTTCTTTTTATTTTTTAATCAAATTTAGTTCTTATTTAAGATTTTGTAACTTTTTTTGTCTCTGTTCCGAATTAAATTACCTTATAAACTATTGATTGTATTATAGTTTGTGTCACAGTTTTAATTGCTTTTTGGATTTATCATTGCTTGTTACCATAAATAACCCGAGAAAATGACTCCAAATAGAAAAGCCGAACATGCAGGGGCCGATTAGCCGGTGATTGGGCTACGAGTTATAATATTGGGTATAGACAACCATGTTTTCATGTTATTACATGTTATAGCATGAAGTGAGAATGATATAGGTTATAACATGGTATTAAGATCATAGGGATAGAGAGAACAAGAGAAAAATGATTTGATTTGATGTTATCTCTCGTTCCCATTATCACATCCTAATAACACCACATCTAATAATACAAGGTTGAGACGGTGCTCCAACTGTTATCATGTGTTTTTTAGGATGTCATGTCATAATAACAGGAGTGGGCGATGCCCACATATAATAATGTTAACTTTTTCCGAATAGTTTGAAATGTTTTATTTTTTATATGCATCCAACATATGAAGAAATAATTGTATAACCCATATGCCCTAAGTCCAAACTTCAAAGTCCAAATTAAGGTTTAAGAAATAAAATGAGAAATCTTTGAAAAAAATTTATGTTTAGGCTTTAGCTTTTATTTATTTTTCAGTCGTTTAAATCTCAAAAACTGAAAATTATATTCATTTTAATTTTTTTACCAGATTAACACGTCATCCAAGTTTCAAAAATTATAATTTTGGTCCAGATTTTATATTTTATTACAAATTTGGTCCAAATTTGTAACTTTTGGCCCACATTTCAAAATTTTGTTACGATTCATCCTAAATTTAGGTTTTTTTATTAT